TCAGTAGATAGATAGAACGCTTGAATCAGAATTCGTATGGAGAGGTTATCATTATTTGAAGTTTTGCATGCACCCTTATATGACAAAGCGCGTCGTAAAATACAAATTAGAGATAGATCGCTTATTGGCCTAAATAATCTAAAAACAGGCATAGTAATCATAAAATTGAGAACATGCATATAGAGAATGTCCAAATCTAACTTTGTAGGAGGAAGTTATGATTTTCAAAGTTTCAGTGTAGCAGCATCGACACAGAAACCAAAATTAAGATCGGTTGATTGTTAGAAAAAACAATATAAATGGAGTTGAAGATATCTTCAACACTTATCCATAAAAATAAAGACAATCGAGAAGGCACTACTAGAAAAAAGGCCTTTTACGACGCGCAAAATACGACGCTCATTGATCTATGTTACGCAAGAGAGAGTGACATTAGAAAAATGTCATCTCTTCAAAAAATTTAAGTATATATGTCGCGTTTTATTGAGTGCCCTTAGAGTTAGTGTCTAATGTAAAAAACTTAAAAACACGGAGGGCACTTAATGTAAAATGTGCGCCGTCTCAAAATGTCGCATTATAATTTTAGTGAAAGGCGCGCATCTCTTCACAAAAATCGAGGTTACTAATAAAATATCTAACACTCACTATTCATCAGTCACTTCACTCTCTACGATTCTATCCTCGACTCGCCTCCCCTTGCAGACAACGTCTCCTCCTCCGATCGTTAGGTTACTTCTGTGGCTGATTTCGCCTCGCCGACGACCGTGGGCTCAACTGACATCATTGGAGACTGCTCAAATTTACGTGCCCTAGGTCCGATTAAGGTGTTCCTGTTGAACCGATTTAGGCGAAGTGAACTTCTCGGTTGGCCAGAGAACGCTGTAACAGAAGAGAAAGAGCAGAAGAAAGTCGACACAAGGGGAAGAAGCGCCTGGTAGCCATGAATCTGATGCTAAGTTGAACACATTCAAGGGTTTCTCACCTACTGAAGCTTCTCAAGTCGAACACAAGGTAAAATCTCAAGCTTCTCAAGTTATATGTAATGTTTTTATCCCCTTCTTTCATCTTGCGAACATTTTCTCTGCTTTTTATCCCAAACTTTCACCTTGTCCTCAAGGTGAAGAAAGGATTGGCTAACCGTGTATATATAATGTCAGTTGCCTAAGAAAAGAGTCGAAAAATCCCTCAAAATACTCTTAATCAAACTCCCCTGTGAGATGTTTCTCTTCAGGTTCTTCGAACCCTGGTCTGGTAGAACGTAATTTTTTATGTTTTCTGATTGTACTTATGAAATTATGAAATCGTGTGGTATCTTTCATTTCGATTGGGGGTATGTATGGACGATTTGTAATAGGGATTGAGATTATGAAATCATGGTTGAAGCATTCATTAAACCCTAAATGTAGATGTCTGAGTCGAGATTTATTTTTGAACTGTTGAGAAATTCTGCAAGGACACTTGATCTTCTCAAGATCATAGAAAAAAGTTCTAAGTTGTTTCACTTAATTAGTCAAAAAGCATATTATTCTGGAACCAAAAGACTTGTTAGAGCATATTAAACATTGAAAGTGTATGTATTTATGAAATCAGCCATTGATTCATTTTACATTTTGATCATCACACAACCTCTTTGATAGAAACCAAAATCCAATAACAGATAAATGAAACTCAAATATGAGATATATAGATCTAGGAAGCTATTGGTTACTAAATGGAAATAAGAA